TCTGTAGAAGAAAAGACTTTCAGGGGAGAACGTCATTGGCATGATTGACTATAGACAAATTGAGAATATATAACATTTAAATATTTGCCTAAGTAGTGATAGTTTGTCCCCTTTTCATTAGTTAGCATACCTTTGTTGCTATTCATAAGCCATCTTAACAGTTGAATGTGAAATAATAATAAATTGTATGAAACGTTTAGCAGATAATTGGGATATCTATACTCATCTGTACTTATTTAAATCTTATTCTTTGTTGCTCAGAAACTATTATTGAAAAATATTTAATCCTTAATATGCTTTTAACTATAAATGAGAACTATTTCTAACCAAGTATATCAAAAGGACTAAACTAGTAAGTATTGAGGCAGTGGGAGTGTATATATAGGGAGCAGTTTTAATTCCAAAAATATAGGTTCCACTGTATCAATATTCTTGTTCACCGCCTTCTTTATTCTAGGTTTTATGGTAGGGCAACAGGGAAGATACAACTTTCACCTAAGAAATAAAGTCATTTTGTGGGAAAAGAGTAACAGGTCAGGTTGTGTACAAAAATATTGAAGAGAGTGGGAAACTTCCTCTGAAATAGAGTGGCAGGAAGAATTTTTGAGTTGGGGAATTTTGTGGGACTTTCAAAAAAGGGTTGGATTATAGGGACAGAATAAGAGTCAGCTAGAAGGGGATTAAGAGAGCCAAGTAGAAGTATGAAAACTGGAATAATTACAATTTTGAGATTGGTCACATTGAATTATTAGACAAAATGGAAATTTTAAAAACTCTACTGTTAAATACTGTTAATTTCAGTAGTGTCTATTCTCTTTGCGAACTACAGATGTCTTAAACTACAATTTAGAAGTAAGTTCTTGTCACTTATGCAAATAACAGGAAAATTTAATTTATTTTTACTACCCCTTTGTATTACAAGTCAGGGACATAGATAATTACAGTCAACATTCAGTTTGTTTTATGTACACTTTACCTCTTGACTATTCAAGGTAATAGATTTGAATAAGACTACACTTCCTGATTTTCTTACTTAAATTTTTAATTTTCTGAAGTGCATTTTTAAAATTCTTACAAGCTTCATCTACAGGTATTAACTGTAAACGAGCCATTTATTCCCTTTGCTTTGTAAGAGGATACATTTTCTTGAAACATTAATAGCCTCTTTTCAAAATACATGACTCTGTGAACTTGCAAAGCATAATAATGGGTTCATTGTTAGATACTGAATCTTTCATGCCTTATAATTAAGAAGTAATCCTGTTGTTTGAGTTGTCTTAGAAGAAGAATAGAAATACGCTCTTCATTTGTAAGCAGCGATGCATAGCTGATATTGGAATTCCAGTAATCCTGTAATGAAATGAAGAAAAGTGGAGCTGGGTCTCCTATTAAAAGCATAGAGCCCATTATATAAACTGTGGGTGATGGCGTGATAGCATTTGATACCAGGACGTTGTGATTCATTAAGAGTGTCAGTTTCGAATCCAAGATTGGTCAGCTAGGCTATCTGCTCAAGTGCTGAGCGCCATTAAGAATTATATTCATAACAAAACAAAACGTCACTTAAATCCAGAAAATGAAGCAAAGTTTACCTGAACCTATAATAATGAGGGTAGAATGGTGTTTGTTTAACAAGGCAGGAAATAAGTGGGGACTCCAGAATGAGGAGAAAGCACGAAAGGAAGTGCTGAGCCCAGCTGGACAAGAGGGTACCGGGTGGGCGAGGCGAAGCTAGGTTTATAGTTGTGAGTCTGTGAAGCACAGAGTTTATTCTTGTATGATTGTTTATTTATTGTATTATTTTCCATAGGAGCAACTGTAAACTTACTGTTTCTTCACCCTGTATTTAGTTGAAATCCTTAACAGAATTTGATCATGAACTTTTCACCAAATCCTAGAAAATTCAATGATAGCATATTCCCTTGAACCTTAAGAGATTAGGAGATGCCTCTGTTTCTTTTCTGTTTTCTTTTTGAAAATTTATTTATTTTTGGCCTGGCCAGTTTGGCTCAGCAGTTAGAGTGTCGGCCGGCGGACCAGAGAGTCCTGGGTTCAGTTTCCACTAAGGGCATGTACCTTGGTTCGTTTGTCCCCGGCCCTGGTTGGGGTCGTGTGGGTGGCAACCAGTTGATGTGTCTCTCTCACATCGATGTTTCTCTTTCTTCCCTCCTCTCTCCCTCCTGCTCTTATGTGAAGATAAATGCAAAAATGTCCTTGGGTGAGGATAAATAAATAAATAAGTTTTATTTAGAAAAACATTTATTTATTTTTGTTACAGATGTTTCTCCTTTTCCCTCATTGACACCCTCGCTCCCCACCCCCCACAGTATTGTTGTCTGTGTCCATTGGTTATACATACAAGTTCTTTGGTTTTTTTCCACCCCCCCTCTGAGGTTTGTCGGTCTAAACCCTACTTCTGTGTCTCTGGGTCTATTTTGTTCATCAGCTTATTTTGTTCTTTATATTCCACAAATAAGTGAGATCATGAGATCTTGGTCTGTTTTTATTTTGTTCTTTAGATTTCACATATAAGTGAGGTCCTATGGTATTTGTCTTTCTTTGACTGGCTTCTTTCACATAGCATAGTCATCTCCAGGTTTATCTATGCTTTTGCAAAACAGAAATAGAGGCATGGGTACATGGAACAGACTCACAGCTGTCACGGGGGAGGGAGGAATGGATGAAAGAAGGTGAAGGGATTAGCCAAAGAACATACATGTATGTCTCATAGACACAGACAGCAGTGTGGTGATGGCCAAAGGGAAGGAGGGGCAGGGCTGGATAGAGGTGGGCAAAGGGGGTGGGGTGGGGAATGGGGACATCTGTAATCATGTCGATAAAAATAAAGTTTAGAAAGAGAGAGATTAGGAGATGATGCTTTCCCAGTAAGTACTGCAATTATGAAATCTTATTTTAAAATTAGTTTTGTTGTTCGTTTTTTAATCTTTTTGGAATCATGGGCTTCACTTGGGAATTTGGTGAACTCTCAGGATTTTCAAAAAAAATCATTTCATTGTGTTTAGAGACCTCTGGAGCCTATTTTGGGATTCTGAAAAGGTGTTTTTCAATCATGAGTAATACACAAAACTTTTAATTAGAAATAATATCCCCTGTGTTGACATATTGCATTTTATAATCTTAAATATGTACCACATAAAACCAGCATTAACTCTTGTACATGTACTCTTATATAATTGTAAAATAAAAACATTTATGAATCAAGCCATGTTACAGACTTGTAAAATTTAACAACATTCATGTGACAGAATATTGACATGTAATTGTCACTTTCAGTGTGACTATGGTACAGATAATATAGTTGAGTTTGAGTTCAGAGTGTTATTATCATATCCCATGTGAATGTTCTTATACTGCTTTTCTCTACTTAAACTACTTTATAATCTTCATTGTTCAGGATACTGTCACATAATTTTAAAGTAAAACTAGTGCTGCTTCTGTTAGTATTAGCCTGCAACAATGAAAGTTGTCTTGCTGTTGGATACAAACTCAATCAAAAACACTGAAATAACACAACAGTATTAATGGTATGGTAGCATCCAGATGTCCAGATTTGACCTTTATTATTATTACTGTTATCATTATTGTTATTTAATCCTCGCCTGAGAGTATGTTTCTATTGATTTTAGAGAGAGAGATAAACATCGATTGGTTGCCTCCTCTACATGCACTGAGCAGGGATTGAACCCAAAACCTGTGGTGTACAGAATGATGCTCCAATCAACTGAGCCAGCCTGCCATGGCTGACCTTTATTATTTTTATTAGAGATCTTCATGGAAATGAACACAGAAATTTTTAAAACACAAGAACTTATTATAAGAACTTCCAGGTTTCTAGAAGAACATTTTTCACATCAACAACATTATTAAAAGTTGTCTAAGCTATAAATTGAGATGTCATTGGTTAATTAAATGCAAAATAGCACCATTGAATGCTCCTGTATGCTAGGTATTATCCTAGGTTTCAGAACTATAACAAAAATAAATTTAAAACGATTTTTTTATGAGACTCTTAATGGTTCTTTAATAGTTTAGTGCAGAAAAGAAAGATAGGTAAACAATTTTAATGTACACTTAGCTAAAGAGTTTCAAAAGAAGTAGTGTATGCCTACTTTATACCTTCTTGTAAATCACAAGATGCGTTATGAATTCTATGGTGAATCATTCTCTTGAGTGAACGATCATGTTCTTACCTATCTATCTGGTCTGTGAGTTTAGAAGATGGCTCCATGGTTTGTCGCCATGAGCTGCAGCATGCAGCTCATGGCAGACATGGACACTGTGCTTGGTTTGTCGCCATGAGCTGCAGCATGCAGCTCGTGGCAGACGTGGACACTGTGCTTGGTTTGTCGCCATGGGCAGCAGCATGCAGCTCGTGGCAGACGTGGACACTGTGCTTGGTTTGTCACCATGGGCTGCAGCATGCAGCTCGTGGCAGACGTGGACACTTGGTTTCTTAGTCTGCATCTGAGGAGTGACACAGATGGAAATGGTTCAGGTGAAGCTGACAATAATGTGAAATGTATGGGGCTTTTGGTGGGGGTTGTGATAAGTTAAGGGAAGACTTCGTGCTAGGAATACTTAAAAGAAATGGTCTTCTACTAAATGAAGGGTAGTTCACTTAAATTTGAGCATGAGAAATTTGCTATGCGATACTTATTTATGCTAATACAGTAAAAAAAAAAACAGTTGTTCAGGCTTTGCCAACTTTGATTGTGGAGATCTAAAATAAGATTTAAAATTTTAATATTACTATGGGATGATTTTAAGCATAATTTTATCTGAATGAATATGAATTGCAGTGAATTAAAATATGCCCTGAAGGCTATTCCCAAGCCTGGGATTAGAGGGTCAGCAATTGAATAGACTTTATGAACTAATATTCTTTATGAAGAGACAACGCTTACCAATTGTTTGACATATTTCCTTCCCAGTTCCTTAAGATAATTATGGAAACAAATGAGTTTCTTATCAATGTCTAGGCAAACTCTTCCACATAGACTTTGGATACATTTTGGGTCGGGATCCGAAGCCTCTTCCTCCCCCAATGAAGCTGAATAAAGAAATGGTGGAAGGAATGGGGGGCACACAGAGTGAGCAGTACCAGGAGTTCCGCAAGCAGTGTTACACGGCTTTTCTCCACCTTCGCAGGTAAGTTGATTGCTTGACATAGAGAATTTTGGTAAATTCATTTCACAGAGCAAGGAAAATAGAGCTGTTCAAATGTGTACATTCTTTAGCATCACTTTTTTCTAGAATGACTCAGGCAACAGTGTTTCCTAGTGTACAATCTGATGTTTATTTTGATAAACAATCTGATATTAAAGGAAAAAAAGACAGAATTGCTGTCTTTTCACTAATCTTATTACTAAATCCCACCACATGGGAAGCTGGCATTAGACAAGATTAGGCAAAAAGGCTTCAAAATCGGTGGGTTGAAATCATTTTCATAAAATATAACCTGTTGGTTGACAGTGCAGGGGTAGAGAAAGGGGTAAGAAGCTTCCTATCATTCAGATCCCCCGAGGCCTTGAAGGATTGTAACCACTTGTTGGGCTGGGTTACTCTCCTCCTTAGCTGACTTCCTACTTCTTCATCGATGAAACATTTAGCTTATTTAGAGTGATACAACCGTTTTTATTGTTTAGCACTCTTATCAGCCTTAATTTTGTTTGCTCTTCAGAAGCATTCAGAAGTTTGTTAAATGAATGAAGAATAAATGTTACCTGTGATTTTTGTCTCTTTAATACCTCACCAGCCCTTTGGCTTTAAAAGAAAGGTTGATTTTTCTCTAGCCCTTCTTTTTCCTCCTGCGCCACCATTTCTCTTCTTCCTTCATCCAGTTTGCTTAGGACTGAACATCATATATCATCAGTAAAAAAACAATAAAAGTCATGTTTGTTAAATTCAGGACATGGCTCTGATATTAGTCAAAAATGACAGGATCATTTGATTCTAACTCCGTTTTCAACCTAACAATGCAAAATAAATATTCTTAGTCCAGCTGAAAACCCCAGCTCAGGAGACATACTATAAAGTCTTCCAGGGGAACTGTAACCTATGGCAGTGAGTTGCCAATGAATGTGGGCTCTGTTTGGTCTGTCTTTGTAACCTCCTTTACTCATGTCATATAGTGGTTACAGCATGGACACTCAATGTATGATTATTGAATGAGAACCTTCAGTGTTTGTATGAGAACCCCCAGAATTTCTACTTCACATCTAGGCTGAGGCTAAGTTCCCAGGTAATGTTGATACTGCCAATGGCAGGAAAATGGCTATCATACTATATTAATCAATGTTAATCTTTGCATCACTCAATAAGCCTTTATTTTTAACTTAGACTCTACCACAGGTCACAGACGTGAACATACATTTTATAATTGGCCATGTCACTTACCCTTTGGGTGGCAGAGTGGCTCAGATCTGCCTGGTGATGCAGAAGCACTTTCTGAAAGATGAGAGTTCCGCCCGGCCGATGTGGTTCACTGGTTGAGCGTCAACCTATGCACCAAGAGGTGACCAGTTCGATTCCCAGTTACGGCACATGCCGAGGTTGTGGGCCTGATCCCCGGTGGGGGCATGCAGGAGGTGGCCAGTCAACATTCTCTCTCATCAGTGTTTCTCTCTCTCTCTCTCTCTAATCAATAAAAAAAATATATATATAAAAAAAAGATGAGAGTTCCACTTTAATATCTGGTATTTTAAATTTAAAGTAGTCAAAGCCTACAGAAAACTAGATGGAACTGTGGCAGTCTCAATGAGGAGGCAGACGAGATGTTAGGAGATGATAACTAGAGAAATGTCAAAGGTGCTGTGTCTTATTGAAGCAGAAGGGGAACAGTATGCTTCACAAACTCACTGATCATGGATTGATAGCAGATCAGTCATATGAGAAAACAGGCAGGTTATTAATATGGAGCCAAAGTTAACTTCTTCCTGTTAAGAAAAGTCACAAAGAGATTAATTTTATGTTAAGACTTCATGAAAATTTATTTTTTAATTTTTAAAAATTTTAGTGTAATTTAGTTAAGATTAGCTGACCCTAATATTTTGGTCAACATTTATTTTTTGATGTTATGTTTTAGAATATGATTCAGTTAGTAAAAATTCCCTTTAGGCTCAGCCAGTGTGGTTCAGTGGTTGAGCGTCGACCCATACACCAAGAGGTCACCAGTTTGATTCAGAGGTCAGGGCACATCCCCAGGTTGTGAGCCTGATCCCCAGTTGGGGGCATGCAGGAGGGGGCTAATCGATGTTCTCGCTCATCATTGTTTCTCTCTCTCTCCCCCCCCCCCTCTCTCTAAAGTCAATACAAAAAAAATTTTTTTTTAGAAAAGTATAATTTTTATTTTGTTTATTATTATTTTTTATTAATTTTTGTTACATTAATTAATGTTTCTCCTTTTTTCCCCACTGATTCCCCCTCCCCCCTTTCCCTTCCCTGTCCCCAGCTTCGTTGTCCATGTCCCTTGTTCATGCATGCATCCATATAAGTTCTGTGGTTTATCTCTCCCTCACCACCCCCTCTTCTGGGGATTTCCAGTCTGTACCCCACTTCCACGTCTCTGGGACTACCCCATTCCTCAGACTGTTATGTTCATTATATTCTCTTTCTCTGTTTGGCTTGTTTCACTTAGGATGATAATTTCCAGGTCCCTCCATGTAGTCTCAAAGGATAAGAGATCTTTCTTTCTTACAGCTGCATAGTACTCCATTGTGTATATATACCACGGCTTTTTTATCCCTTCATCTACTGATGGACACTTGGGCTGTTTCCAGATCTTAGCTATTGTAAATAGTGCTGCTACAAACATGGGGGTACTTATATTCTTTCTGATTGGTGTTTCAGGCTTCTTAGGGTATATTCCTAGAAGTGGGGTCACTGGGTCAAATGGAAGTTCAATTTTTAATTTTTTGAGGTAATACCATATTGTTTTCCATAGTGGCTGCACCAGTCTGCATTCCCACCAGCAGTGCATTAGAGTCCCCTTTTCTCCACACCCTCGCCAACACTTGTTGTTTGATGATTTGTTGATGGCGGCCATTCTGACAGGTGTGAGGTGGTACCTCATTGTTGTTTTAATTTGCATCTCTCTGATGATTAGTGATGTTGAACATTTCTTCATATGTCTCTTAGCCCTTTGTATGTCCTGTTTGGTGAGGTGTCTATTCAGCTCCTCTGCCCATTTTTTAATTGGGTTCTTTGTCTTCCTTTTGTGGAGTTGTATGAGCACTCTATATATATTGGAAATTAACCCCTTATGTGATATATCATTGGCAATTATGCTCTCTCATACAGTGGGTAGCCTTTCCGTTTTGATGATTATATCTTTTGCTGTGCAGAAGCTTTTTAGTTTGATGTAGTCCCATGTGTTCATTTTCTCCTTTGTTTCTATTGCCTTAGGTGATATATCAGTGAAAATTCTGCTGCGTATGATGTCTGAAATTTTGTTGCCTACATTTTCTTCTAGGATTTTTATGGATTCATGAGTCACCTTTAAAGTCTTTTATCCATTTTGAGTTAGGGTGTAAGTTGATGGTCTAGTTTCATTTTTCTGCATGTAGCTGTCCAATTTTCCCAACACCATTTATTAAAGAGGCTGTCCTTACTCCATTGTATGCTCTTGCCACCTTTGTCAAATATTAATTGAGCATATTGCCTTGGGTCCATTTCTGGGTTCTCTGTTCTGTTCCACTGGTCTATATGCCTGTTCTTGTGCCAGTACCAGGCTGTTTTGATTACAGTGGCTTTGTAGTATAACCTGAAATCTGGTAATGTGATCCCTCCTACTTTGTTCTTCTTTTTCAAGATTGCTGTGGCTATTCGAGGTCTTTTTTGGTTCCATATGAACTTTGAAGTACTTGTTCTAATTATGTGAAGTATGCCGTTGGTATTTTGATGGGGATTCCATTGAATCTATAGATTGCTTTTGGTAATATGGACATTTTAATGATGTGAGTTCTTCCAATACATGAACAGGGTATGTGCTTCCACTTTTTTATATCTTCCTCTATTTCTTTTTTCAATGACCTGTAGTTTTCTGTGAATAGGTCCTTTATTTCTTTGGTTAAGTGTATTCCTAGGTATCTTAATTTTTTTTGCTGCAATGGTAAGTGGGATTGTTTTCTTAGTTTCTCTTTCTGTGAGTTCATCATTGGTGTATAAGAATGCCATCGATTTCTTGACGTTAATTTTGTATCCTGCTACTTTTCCAAATTCATTTATTAAGTCTAGTAAATTTTTGATGGAGTCTTTGGGGTTTTTTTTGTAGAGTATCATGTCATCTGCAAATAATGACAGTTTCACTTCCTCCTTTCCAATTTGGATCCCTTTTATTTTTTCTTCCTGTCTGATTGCTGTGGCTAAGACTTCCAGTACTATGTTAAATAAGAGTGGTGAAAGTGGGTATCCTTGCTTTGTTCCTATTCTTAAGGAAAATGCTTTTAGTTTTTGCCCATTGAGTATGATGTTGGCTGTAGGTCTTTCATATATGGCCCTTATTATGTCTAGATATGATCCCTCTATTCCCACATTGCTGAGCATTTTTATCAGAAATGGATGCTGGATTTTGTCGAATGCTTTTTCGGCATCTATTGATATGATCATGTGGTTTTTATTCTTCATTTTGTTTATGTGGTGTATCACGTTTATTGATTTGCGAATATTGTACCAGCCTTGCATCCCTGGTATGAATCCCACTTGGTCATGGTGAATAATTTTTTTGATGTATTGCTGGATTTGATTTGATAGTATTTTGTTCAGGATTTTGGCGTCTATGTTCATCAGGGATATTGACCTGTAGTTTTCTTTCTTTGTAGTGTCTTTTTCTGGTTTTGGAATTAGAATTATGCTGGCTTCATAAAACGAGTTTGGAAGTCTTCCTTCTTGAATTTTTTGAAATAGTTTGAGGAGAATGGGTGTTAGTTCTTCTCTGAATGTTTGGTAAAACTCCCCCGTGAAGCGATCCGGTCCTGGGCTTTTGTTTGCTGGAAGAGTCTTGATTACCTCTTCAATTTCCTTAGTTTTTATTGGTCTGTTCAAGTTTTCTATCTCTTCCTGGTTCAGTTTTGGGAGACTATGTGTTTCTAGTAATTTGTTCATTTTGCTTAGATTGTCGAATTTGTTGCCATGTAATTGTTCATAGTAGT